AGACAGACAGACAGACAGACAGACAGACAGACAGACAGACAGACAGACAGACAGAGAGAGAGACAGAGAGAGAGAGAGAGAGAGAGAGAGAGATAGAGAGCGAGAGAGAGAGAGAGAGACAGAAAAGAGAGACACAGAGAGAAAGAAAGACGCACGCAGAGAAAGAAAAAAAGAGAGAGACAGAGTTCGGGTGTGAGTGAGTGAGAGAGAGAGAGAGAGAGAGAGAGAGAGAGAGAGAGAGAGAGAGAGAGAGAGTACCTGTAGTTCAAAGAATTCCTCCCAGCTCCCGGAAAAATACCAGTCCTCTGACTTGTATGATTTGAGGAACTTGAAGTAGGAGACCCAGGCATCTTTGGGGTTCCGCAGCACGTAGACAAGACGAGGTTTCTTCTCAAAGGCTTGTTTGGGCAGGAACTGAAACCAACGGTGTGAGGCCAGGACGCGAGGTGAGGGCAGAGTTGGGAAAGTGTCACGTATGATATCCAGTCTCACTGTGTCCAAATGACGCTCTATAAACAAACCGTGCTCGAATCGCGTACTTCGATGGAGCACCATATTTGCCACCTCGAAAAACCAATGGCTTCCGGAGCGGGGGAACCCACAATAGATGACGTCATCAGGGCGAATTTCAAGCTGGCGTATTTCCTGTTGAAGTTGTATCACGTCTTCTCGCTTTTGGTAAATGACGATACGATTGCCGCAGTCGAAAACTTCCGTCGCCATCTTTGATAATTTATCCAGCGCCTTTTGGAGAATTATATTCCTTTCTTGAGCCATGATATGCTTATTCGCCGTTTTGGGACTTTTATGTTTCAGGACACACGACTAATCGTTAGATTTATTGAAATTGTTTATTTTCTTTTTAAAGCCTAGTCGAAATAACAGGTTTTGGAGAGCAAAATTTACATCAAATCATGTTTCTGCGCTGTTGTTGTTGTTTTTTTAACTCTATGAGTAACACAATGACACAGTATTGTAAACAAGCTCAACGAATTACTATTCCCACTGAGTCACAGTCTATATTAACAGATGCTAAATTTCAACTTGCATGGGGCATCAAAAGCTTCAAACATCAGCAGAGAGTGGACAGGATCCGTGCTGTCCTCACTTCACACGCTTATCAGACTAAAATACAACAAAGAGAAGTTCCGTATTACCATCATCTTTTATACTATTATTCATGAACGAGCCTATTAATTCATTCTTAGACCTATTCATTTGGTATACGGAAAGATACAATGGCACAACCAATGTGACAACAGGTTGTGTTTATTGCAGCGCAGGCAATCAGCTTTCAACTGGTGTTGTTTTAGATCAGGAGTGTCAAGTTCAATTAACACAGGGGCTGCTGGTGGTAGAGCATATGCCACACAAAATAATTTACTTTTACATCAACCAAAAATGAGTTTAGGTATTTTATTCTTTTTTTTCTAAAAACAGAAAGGAATCTAAGCTTCTCATTTTTTAAAATTTATAATGACAGACCAGAACATGAGCTGTACTTAGGAACAAATGCTCTCTGAAAAGTGTTGCGAGTGTAAAAAAAATGTACCGGCTGTACGAACGCTAAACTTCGTTGTCAAGTTGGGGCGGCAAAATATCGTCCTGATCCGAAGGCCTCGATTGACTAGTAGGCTGCGAGAGTGAGGATTATGTCGTTGACGTAAATGAATAGTTTTTTCAGAAATCGCTGTAACTATAATTTTACATACAATTTCACCCTGTCATAGTCCGGTCTCGTCAAGCCAAGCACATCAGAGTAAGTTTCATCTTCCTAGAAAGTAATTATTAGATATGCTTGTATTTTGTTTTTAAAAAGGCACAGCCTGCATGCAATATGCTTGTCCTCTGTTTTGCTTTTGTTTTAAAAAGACAACATGAGATGTGCCTGTTTTGTTTGTTTGTTTGTTTTTTTGGCCACTATCTAAGAATCCTATATAATACACACTAACAAACCTTAAACTGTTATTTAAAAATGATCTTTTCTTTATGGTCAATCTTCCTTTAAATCCTCCAAACAAATACAGTACACAATGTATCCATCTCCAGTACATTTTCGCTTGCAAATGGCTTCGTAGACAAATACAACTAACAGATCTCTCTAGACTACTTCGTCTCGTAAACAAGAAGACAATCTCTCTAAGAATCCTACACTATCATACTAATGTAGACTGGTAGTGAATCTCTCTGCACATCATTGCTAGAATATTATTATGTAGAAAGGCAATAAATCTCTTTGCACACCAACATTTTCTATACACTTACACTGTAGACAAGAAATTAATATCTCTATACACTTAAACTAATGTGTAGACAGGCAGTAAATCTCTCTACGCACCAACACTATATTATGTAGACAAGAAGCCAGTCTCTCTCAACTCGCACATCACAAGCACACGAGAAGTGCAGCACAGCGCCAAAAGCCAAGCATCACAACAACCAAAGTAATGCCACTCGCAGCCATAATTACCGGAACCTGAAAATTGTTCACACAGCTGCTTGCCACGCGAGAAATAACAACGCTTGGCGGGACCCGAATAAAGGACAAATATACTGGTGTTAACGAGAGAGTGATTCATCTCAATAACATGTTTCCTGTTGTAAGTTGATTATAAGTTGAATTTAGCAAGACAGGATCTTATTTGACGAGTGTATAGATATATCTATACATCAGGGATAGCCATTCTCCGTGGGGTCACTTGTGGGTCACCATGGAGTCATGCACAAAGTACACTTTTAGCAGAGTCTAGCTTGTTTTTTGAGAATTGAAGGGTGGATGGGGGTGGGGGTAAATTTAGTTTCACCAGTCTCAAGAACGACATGTACTTTTGTGATGTATCTTCACAATATAAAAAAAAGTTGATTCTCTTCTGTCAAACTCAAGGTTTTGAACGGCAAGAAATATTAATATGATTGTTGTTTTGGGAACGTGTTATGATTCTGATATTTTCCAACGAGCTGCTGATGAGTAACATTTCATCTGGAATCTTTTACCCCTTCTCTGCCAGGCCTGAGACTTGAGAAATGGAGCAGGCCTGGGAGTGAATTCGTATTCCTATGCTTATAAATATCCATTTATTAGTACAAAAGTGTTATGTTCTTTCTCTTTTTCTTTTATTCATTCATTTATTTTTGTTTTTGTAAGAGTTTAATGGCTATCGCAACGGCATAAGGTCGTATGAGCGGGCGGGTAATCACGTCTTTCTCTCAGCCCGTCATCCCTCTTTCCAAACGGTTTGCCCGATTCTAAGCAACATCCTCGGTCCCCACAATCATATTGGTATCCCTACCCCTGATCCTGATCTTTCCGTAATCGAATTCCCTTCTCTAACCCCTGTCCCCTCCTTCACCCCCCCACCCTTTACCCCACGTCTTATTCCACACTCTTACACAACGGACTTCCCCCTCCCAACCCTATCCCTATCCCCCGTTTCTCCCCACTATTGTCCACTGTAGACAGAAATCTGCAATATATTACAATGAAAGCACCTTTTCGACTTTAAATCACTTATAGTAATTTAGCATATTTACATTGTCATTTTGTATGCAGTTGCCAAAAGGTAGGTAATCTTATGCTGCTTGTTTCGATCTATCTGGGTCAATAAGCTGAGGGGAACGATAAAAGAGAAGGCGAGAGAGTGAGCGGTGTTTTACTAATATACAAACGTTGTTTCTTAGAAATCAGCTCTCTGTGTCGCTAACGCACTCACCCAAAACAAAAGTTCACATAAAGGGAGAAAGAACAAGGAGAGAGAGAGAGAGAGAGAGAGAGAGAGAGAGAGAGAGAGAGAGAGAGAGAGAGAGAGGAGGTGGGGAATGGGAATCAGAGACACAGATACATAGAGCGATGTAAAAAGGTTACCTATTGTCATCCTGGTGTCATGATTAATTGAGTTATCGACTGTAGATTTATCGTTTTTGCCTTGTACACACATAGATTAGGCTGTGATTGAGTGGTATACCTTATATATCGTGTTGTATCATGTACGTAATGGTCTTGATGATCCCTGCCTGCTAGTAGCACTTGGAAGAAGGGGCGTATTATTTATTTTTGTTTCAATAAATGTATCTTTGGCAACCGATTTCGGCATCAGCATGACTAAGATTTATGTATTTCACCACATACGCTATAAACAGTGCCCTATCACGCAAATATGACGGAGCTATCGAGTTGGTAACGGCATCAATCTCACGCCGCAAAAACTTGCAAGTGGCCTGGAATGCTATAATCTTTTCTCGGGGGACTCTCGTGGTCGAAAGGTTACGGTGTTCGCCCCCCATTCAATAGGTCCCGTGTTCGAATCCGGACAGAGACGGACACTTTTCTTATCTAAAATCTCTACCTTCCTCTCCTTTCCTGCTATCTAACAATGGTCAGTCGTCTGCTAACCCCCTCATCTCTTTTGCCTCCTCCTCTAAGCCCCTGACTCTTTCTTCAGCCTTTCTACTGCTACTCCTTGTCTCCTTCTTACTACTGTCTTTCAGCCACACCTTTGATATTATGGAAGGAAACATCTAACACCTAGCCATCTCGGATAAGGGCAACAAATCTCGGAGGTACCGTGTGCACATTACACATGTTAAAGAACCCTTGGTGGTTCAAACATCGATAAGAGTAGGCTTCAGCCGCCACCAGGGCAAAATTCAAAATTCCTACTAAACTTAAAATGTTAAATGTGTCACGTGCGCAAATAATAATGACTGTATGCAATTGCCACCTCCGTAAAACATATACCAGTCACGAAAAAATCCGAAGAATTATCCCCTGCTCCCTTGCAAAAAGGACACAATATTGAAACCAAACACAGGACGAGACCTCCTGCTATCAAAATGGACCTATTCCATATGTCTGTATGTGGTGGTGGGGAGGCGTGGTTGGCTGGTGCTCTGGTGTGGTTTGCTCCTTATTTCTTTAATCAAATATCTCTTTTTTCCCCTAAGTTACTCTCTAATAATACCTGAAATCTCCGGCACTTGTAAGACCTATTTGTGTCGCAAGCGCCGTTACACACGTATTAAATCCAAACTAAAGGACGGTATTATGTGTCTCGAATGGCTTTAGGTTTAAGCTTTAGATAAAAATGCGAAAACGGAACAGAAAAAAAAAGATACACAATTTTCCCCCAAAGTGAGTAGAAGATTGGTGGTATCAGATGAGGGTGTTGCGTGCCTGTTGGTGGGGCAGTAGACTACGTATGCTGCAGGGTTCTCTTTGGATCTGAAATAATGTGTTTGGGAGCATTCATTATGATATAAATAGGACTCTCTAGAGCCACAAAATTGTATTATAAGATGGATAGGCAACGTGCATGAAGTCATAACGCACTTACGTGAGGCATCCTAATGAAATCAGGCGCTCGTCAAAATAATGAAAACCAAGATATGGGCATTTTTCTACATTGTATCAGTTTGGCAATTTTAATTGAATTTTTGTTGTTTAGTTGAGCAGCTTTTATGTCCTTTTAATATCAAATTTCTCTCTGGATTTTACTGAAAAACGTTTATTAAAGGCACAAAAAAGGTAAATTTCCAGTCTTTAACAACTCTAAAGCATTGAAAAGTGCCAAACTTTGGCGGTCATTTTCTCCCTTATTTTACCTCTGAAATAAGGGTACACCTCTTCTTTCAATCGCTAATATCTTGATTTCTATTCAAAATAAGTGGCTATAATTTCCACCAAAAGCAAGATGCAAAATGGTCAGGCTTTAGAATGATACCAAAAACTCTATATGCCTCAAAAATGACGAGCGCCTGATTCCACTGCGTCGTGGCACAGTAACATGTAGTTTCAAGCCTGTTGGACACCAGCTATTTGTTCCTTTGACGTAAATGCAGGGAAAAAAATCAGCAATTCAGATTGAGCTGTTAAAAGCAGGCGTCTGTCGTGTAGTGGTAAGGTGTTTCGCTGTTGCTCGCAGAAGACATGGGTTCGATCCCCGTGTTCAAATAAGTTTTATTGAGTACCTTGGCCTAGGTCCTTCTTCGAGGATGATGTATCTCTCTGTGCCCTGGTGGCCCTGACAGGCAAGGTGAAAGCTCACGCCCTAAATGATCTAAATTGTATCAGTAAGGTCATAAAACACCTTTAAAAAAAAGTTTGCTCTGGTCCAGCTGTGCAGGGGATGTAATAACATTATTTTCTGCCAGGCATGGGAGGTAACCCGTATTTTACTTTCTAAAAACCTAAGCTAGAGGTAAGTCTATCGGCTGTCTAGATGCCTTGATATGATTTTCTATTACTGGGTTTTGATATGTCTAAAATTCTAAATGTCAAATGGCCGTGTGTGCGAATCAGTTGTTTTATTGCTACAACGTTTTTGCATGTAAGGCACTGTACTGATGGCTGTACTGATGGGCTTATTAAATATTGGACATTTTAAAAGTGTAGTTTGTTGACAGTTGAGTCTGGTAGGACACACAAATACACACACATACACACATGCATAGTATGCATGTACACATATATACATACACGCATACACACATACACGCATACATATAAATGCACATGTGCACACACACAAATAAAAACACACAAACACACACACAAACACACATACGCACACTCAAACGCACACACACACACACACACACATACGAACGCATCCACAAAAGCACATACAAGCACACATAATATTCACACTCACGCATATGGTAAAAAATATATCATAGTATATAACATGAAAAGTATAATATTCTGATACAGTAAAATGTAGCATATTATAATAAGTAACATGCTCAGTTGATATGATACATTATTATATTATATCATGAAATAAACGATATTTTATGATTTTCGATTTCATTCGATTCTATACCGTTCTAATTGATTCTATTCGCTTCCATTCTAATGTTTTGTTGTGTATTGAACTATCCTACACTATAC